TTGTCCAATGTCCGCGTTTCGATGAATTACTCATTCGCACGTATACAGTATCGGAATTTGAATCGCTGGCAGCGGCGAAGGTAAGTTCACGGTGTCGCGAATACCGCGATTCTCTTTTCGTGAATACAAATTGCGACCGGGGCGGGGAAGAAGTGGAACAGGCGGATTTGCATTCATCTTTTACGAGCGACTTGCCCTGTTCGCACGTTAGTAGAAGTGGTTACGGAAATATTGCCACAACATCGGAATATTTATGAGCCTGTGGCGGTAGCAACGGTACCGTTTATCATCGTCACGCTCCGGCTTGACTGACGGCGAGTTAAATTCGTTCCATCGCCCCCGATGCGTCTTTCTTCAACGATTATCCTTCATATCACGAATTATCTCACCGTCCGGCTGGTAGTCGATGCGGAATTTCATCTACTGATTGATTTTATAATCGATACAACGGTCGATCTATTAATTGATTTTATGACTTAATTCGATTCAACTCGCATTCGATCTGGTCGCTAATCTAATAAATATTTTGGAAAAACTGCGTTGTGTCTGCATCACGTGAGCGGCTAAGGGCCAGAGGCACCGTGGCACAAAGTCGGAAAAAAAAGAGAGATAACGTTTCGATATCGAATATTCGCGAGCAAAGGGTGTAAAAGCTTGGGCGCACCCTTTGCGCACGTTTTTCCTTGCGTTGTCCAACACGTTGAAATTCAACAGGAGAGATTTTATCCGGTTTTCCTCGAGCGTGCCCATGTGTTCCACGCGAAATATCGCGTCCCTCCGAGCACGAGCGTCATCATTAATTCGCATATCTCGCCTTTCCACCGTCGCGCTGCTTCCCCGTGGCGACGTTGTTTCAAGGGTTATCGGCCTTTGCCTCTCTTCTACGACGACTGCTCCTCTTCCACGATGCAGATGATTCTATTGTCTAGTGTTTCTTTGCGAACCTTTGAATTTCGAAGAACAGGAAACCATCTCAACGTTTGTTTCGTAATACGAAACAAGAAATATGTTTTACAAAAGAGAAGAAGGACTCTTTTATTTTAGAATTAAATTAACGTGTAACGCGCAAAGCGATGCAGTTTAGAATTAATAATAAGATAACGATTGTTGTTTCAATTCTTTGCCCACCGACGTGTGTACCGCTACAGCTTAGAACAATTTGGCAGAGCCTCTCGAATCGTTCCAACGTTTAAACTTTTATTAATAGACACTGCCCTCACCTATCCGATCGCCAAATCCGTGCACCTGTACTTTGTTTATGGAACCGTTCTTGCTACTCGGAAATCCGTTCTCCGATACCCAAGACTTTAGGGCTCACCAGCAATAAAACAGGTATTACTTGATACCTGATCCGTGTGATGATCGATCCATCGTCTTACAGTTGAATTTTCTGACTGATACAGCAGTCGATGATCGTTCTATTAAGTGATTCGATATCTCATACGCTGATCTTCTAATTGACCTGAATTATCCGTACGAAATGAACTCTCGTTCACAGACTTGAGAGATCCGCGGTTCAACAATAAAACCGTCGCGTGTCTCACCAAGAATTTTTGCTAACGAAAAGGCCGGCTTTACCGTACGATTTTTCTCGCACGAGTTACATCGACTTTCGGTCGAATCGATCGGCTCGCGGCACGTGGTGCACGTTCGAGTTTTACCGGTGACAAAGACAACGGACCAAAGGACGGACGGACGGATATCGGTGTTTTCACTCGCTAAACAGGACGCCCGTTGTCTCGAAAACGTGTCGTGGCTACACCCACATCGGCGCGGACGCATCGAATCATCTTCGTACAGCGACTCCTACGGTGTACGTGTCGAACGTGACGCCGACTCCCACGGACGGGGTAAAGTGGATATTAGTTTACCGTGACAACCGTTATACGTGATAATTGAACAGAATTTTTCCTATTATTAGATAGATCTATAAATAGCCGTCTCGATTGATTCGGACGACTCGTTTATGTTTCATGTATCACCTAATTCTCGTTACAACACGTTCTTACGTATCACCTCGCAGTCGTTCGTATACATGACCGTGCAACGTTCGCGGCGACGTCGCCGCGTTGAACATACACGTGTGCAAGCTCGCTGTGTTTAGAATTGTTGCAATGAGCCTCGAAGGCTGCGGCCTCAGGCAGCGATCCAATTAATTTCACTCCATCACGCATGGGAGTGTCAAACTCTTCGCAGCATCTTAAATAATCTTGTTTACTTTGAAACCGTTTCATCGAATCCGATTAGTCGTGTCAAAATCACTTTGGGTCGACGATTCGATTAAATCGTCGACAAGGTTCAAGGGAAGACTATTGTCGGAGCAATTTTGCAGAAAACGTCGAGAAAAGCTTGAGAATCGTGTCGGGTGACTTCCGCGGTTATTTCCTCGGATCCGTCGTCGGATTAAATCCGATGGCATCGGTTTCTCGAGAATCCATTAACGCTTTACGCCGGCCGTCGTTCAAAGCCGGATGATTCCTTCGCAAACGCTCGACGCCATGCTGCGTCGGAGAGACTGGGCCAGGGAACCTTTCACGAGCATCGTTTCAAGCTCTTCTTAAAGGCCGGTGCTCGAACTTCGCGAGACGAGCTTGTTAGTCGGCCATCAGTTGCACCTCGGCTTAATTTAAGTTGAAACTTAACGTAGGCGTTTGAATTATCTCGTCTGACTCGTATACGTTTAAATATACAGTGCCTGGCTAATTCGTTTTACGCCTTACCAAGATGTTGGACTTTCCACCCTTTCACGTATGATCAGACATTTTACACGCGAAATAGAATATATCTATTAATTTTACTGGTCAACGAAACATCAATTCTGCCATTTACCTTTTCTTGTTTGTATAACAGGAAATGATTGTTAAAATTGACAGACTAATCGTGATCCTTTTCTGATTTCTTAATTTTTTAAATCAAGCAGGGAAACAATTGTTGGCACTCGATCCTCGCATGTTGCACCCCCGAGGAGCACTTCCGGTTGTTAAAATTTCCAATTCAAATAACCGTAGATCGGGGGTAAGTAATGTTTAAGTACTTCCTCTCGACAGGCTTCAGAACGTATGCAAAATTCAGAAAACTGGCTGAGAAAGTGCTTACCGACCTTCCCGCGCCATCATTTACACATTCATAGCTCTCTGAGAACGCCTTGGAAACGACAACCTGTCCAGGCGAGGCGAACACACAAAAGAAATCTAAATCTTTCTTCTCAGGATTCTTCACACTTTTTTTTAACTCGGCTGCGTTTACGAAAGAGAAGATATCAAACTAGAAATATTGAACGTAAAATATACGCGAGGTTTTATTCAGAATATAGTTTCGCAGAAACAATTCGAATCTTATTCTCGGGACTGGCGCAACCTACTTCTACTTGATAAATCAGCTCCAGATGGTTCGCGCGTTCCGGTTTGCCTGCGTTCTCAATAAGTCATTATCAAGAACAAACGCGTCGATACGTGCAACTAACGGGGGTGAATTCGTTCTAACTAGGTTACAACTATCGGCCCGGGATTATTGGTATTATTTTCCAGCGGAACGCGGATACTTTAATGAGTACCAGCCGTACCACCGGCTGCCTACCTCGTAATTAGCATTGTCGTCGTCCGATAACGAGTTCCTAGAAAACATCCGTACAACAAGTTCTTTAATACCTGAATTACTCACGAAGCGATGAATTTACGAGATAAAATGTACATTAAATATCGCGTTCATCTCATACCATCTAATTTATATTACGTAGCACCAATCGTATTTCTTGCACATTCCAGAGTGTTTCAAGTGTGCTCTGTATTGATTCACAAGATTCAGACCTGTTGTTTAAATGATCTTCTTAATTCAGTTTCGTTAGAAAACAAATCCATGATTCTTTCTACAAAAACTGTCTTCGGAATGTGCCTTTATCGATTTCATAACAGATTATGCAACGCCGGTTGGTCGAATTAATTGTCCTGTCAATTTCAGACGTGATTCTATTCTGACAGACGATACATACCTACATTCCAAGGTGTGCGTATCGGTCGGAACGAATTCACAGGTGAAATCCTTTGAGCGCAGGGTCACACGCCGAATATCGACCTTCGCTGATGCTGTTCTGGTTTGTGACAGAGTTCGCTCGATTCCCTCAGTCGTTAAACGCTCTCAACAGGTACCGACAGGTCTGAAGTAATTTCGTAAACGAGTCGCGCTCGCCGTTTTGATTTACTCGTTCGCGAATATTTACACCGTCTCGCTTTAATCTAATTACCAGTCTAACTCGTCATCAGATTTTATTCAACGTTCGGAGAACTTCTCTTTGTATCATGTTCAATATGCAGTTCTTCGCTTTCTCGTTTTACATCTAAATTTGAAAGTGTTTTCAAATAATGCAATGTAACATCAGGTTCGAATCGTAATTTCATCGATTCGTTTCTTCAAGTGTAAATTAATCTAATGACACCGTGTCTGATTCAAAATTCGTTGGGCAGAAGCATAGTTAGAGTCGCGGGTCTCCTTGAGTCTTCCTCGCGATTGGCCGTGACCGAAAAATCATTTCATCGGAGTGGGAGCGAACGTATTTTTATCACAAAATTTATTTACACATAAACGGGACGGAAACGAATCCCGTTTCCCCTGATAAAACCAATAACCTTATGAATATTTAATGGCGCGTTCCGAGCTCGGAGAAATGTAAACAAGAAGACGCTTCCCACGTACATATTTATTTGCCTCTGATGAACCCTTTGTTTCCACAGTTTAAATAACGTGTGTACCACGTAAATCTCAATATAGTTTATCAGATCTCTGATAACGTTCACTTACCGATCTGAAAGGAATATTTTTCTCCCAATAGAGAATTACGTTATGTAGGTCACACGAAATTTGCATTCTCACACATTGGCAATTACCGATCATCGATGAGACGACGAATTACGTACTATCAGAGAGATCCAATCAGTGATGTGCATTGGACTTTTTCAAATCCGATGTCCCCGTTTCATCGTCGATTTTCAATACTTGCGTTACAGGTGTGGTTAACAGGGGCGACTCTTTTCGAAGAAGAAGATCAAGGTCGAACTCGCTGGCACCGGCCGACGTGGAGAACGAGGATAAACGTAATCTACCAGCGAAAGATATCACCTCCTACACGGTGGCGATGCTCGGTGCCACGGGCGTCGGGAAAACCGCCCTCATCAGCCAATTTATGACCAGCGAATGCATCAACGCGTACGACAGGCAAAAAGGTGCGTTACGTGTCACTTATACAAAGAACCTTGCGATCATCCATGTAATTATTCATTTAATTAATATCAATCATGCGACCTATCATTCGATCTGATAATTTTAGTGGCGGATGATCGTCGCGCCGGTCAACGGACGAGTCACTTTAATTATTCATGAATCAGACATCATTCGGCATTCATTTATCACTGGTTTTGGTAATTGACGTAATAATCAATTTTTCTTGTTATTTTATTAACACTGGATCTACCAAAAGTGGTAAAAATTACTTGTTTGGCATTTCTTATAATCATTAGTCACATTCAGTACGTCTCGTTTTCTAAAATTTTGTGTGACTTTTTCTTATTAAATTATTATTATTATCATTATCAATTTATTATCCAATTTTCACTGATAAAAACGTAAAAATTGCTACGTCTTTTCTTATGTCTTATTAACTTGAGAAATGAGTCATTTTGACCCGCCGTTAATCGCCGGTAGTTCTAGTCTTAATAAAATAGATCTTATAATTCCTGTCTCGTATTTGATCCTATGATTCTAATTGAACGTAATCTGATAATTAATCGTCGCCTATCAATTGATCCGTCGATCGACGTAATAATTCGTCTGATGACGTATTGAAGCAGCCGATAAACCTGTGAAGCATCGTTACTGGAAATTTGATTACGTTCGGTGCGACTGGTCATTAATAAGCGGGTGAAAATTTGATCGTCCGTCGCGCGTCGTGGAGAGAGTGGCAGCCGTTTGAGACGCGTACGTGAGACCCTGGGATATTGGCAAGCTAGATTTCCGGCCGGGTCAAACCGGAATGAAATATGCCTTAATAAAGTTAAAGGTCGCCACGTTTTCCGCTGCGCGCAAGTACTCCGGCTAGCCGTGGTTTATAGCGTCACGTTTAAACGCCGCTGGGAAATATTGCACTGTTTGGAAAGTTGCTATGTTCTTTTATAACTGTGTAACTCGGCCCTGCTGGGTTTTATAACGGAGAAAAAAAACAATACAGAAGCAAAAGCAAACGTTAAATTCTCTCTTAATCATTTTTCATGAATTTTATATCAAGTATCGAATGATCAATCGAATTTATTTTTTTCATGAACTCTGTTACATTTCTAGTTTATCTCGCTTCGTCTTATACGAGACGATCCTTCAATGGTATCAAGCAGCGATCGGTATCCAAGTCGATGGGCCGTGAATCGTCGGGGAAATTCGTAATTTCTATTTTCGACACGGCGTGTAATTATGCCCGGGGCTTCCGTTGCGACACGCGGATATTTCCGCGATGGAAACGGCCAGTGGTGGCCGAGCTCGTACCTCGCGACACGTCGATGAAATAGTATGGAAGGTGGTCCACGCTCGCTGAAACGATGGACCACTTGCCAGCTCTCTCTCGTTCATACGAATTAAAGCCGATGACTCACAATTTTCGCCCGTGAATCATTTCGACGTTCAGAAGCCACGTGCAATTAATAAATATCACGTACGATCAACAATACGATTTAGGCCAGAGAAGAAATTATAATTGGTACACCGCAACGCTTTGTTCGAATCGACGTTGAGATTCGATCCAACGGAGAATTCCGATATTCGTTCGTAAATAATCGTGGTATCGTTTTCAACGATTTACAGCTAGCGGCTCGTTACATCGTCAAGGTTTACGTAAGCCCGGAGTTTCGGCTAGGTAACACCCGAGTCGAGAATCGATCTCCTTCGAGGAAACGAGCAGGAACGATAAATACGTCAATTGTATTTAGATCCCGTCGCGATTCGCGTTTTCTGGAGAATTTTCCGAGTGATCGATTGCTTCTAGTGGAATATTTTCGACCGATCAAAGCGGATATTTTCCATTTTAAATTCAAATAAAATCGCGTTCTCGCGCGGTTCCTTTTTTTCTTCAATTTGCGTCGGTCAAGCAAAATAAATATTTGAACGGATATACAAATGAAAAGTTTGAAATCAAACAGCACTTGCGTCGGTAATGTTATTCTATATTTCAATTTGATCGATCTTTTCGGAAGAAATGCATTTTTTACGCGGACACGAACGATCGGCAAAATCGAATCGGATTGTTGCAGTAGTTGGGCGACAAGGTAGAAAACAAATAGACTCATCGGAACATCGTCAACCTCGGCGCGATACTCGATTTTGCTAGTTAAATCACGCGTCCGTTCGCGTCAGGGAATCACCGTTAATTTGCGGAAAACAGACCCCCGAGGCGAAACGTAGTAGTGAACGATATCATCTTTTCCCATCACCGTAGTACAAGTAATTAAATGGATCTATTCATATACGAATTCTATTTCAATTACTCGTACGATACGCACAGAGGATTGAATAAAAAGTTTACACAAGATCTCATCATTTATCTCGCGCAAATAATTAATTAAAATATTCTCAAATCATGTATTAAGGATTATAAAAAATTACAAAATTCCGTGATTGTTGCGTTCATATTTCTTTTATAAATGAAATCAAAATTATGTCATTCGACATAAGAATTCAAGATGTGATAACTCTTTTAGTAGAATCGCAAAATTTCTAAAATTTCGTAGTGTTTTATTAATGTAATATCTAGTAACTGTTAAAATTCTAATACTTTGCCACTGTCTTTGTGTAAGGGTTTGTACAACCTTAATAAACGGTTCTGCAATTTTCATAAATGCAAAGAGACCGAGTGGGCATAAAGGCATAAAAGATTATGTGGAATAGGTTCCATTGCTTCGTTCCAACAATGCCGCTTCACTGCCGGCATTACTGCGCTCAATATGCAGTATTTTATTCCCGGCGCGACTCGAAGAAACGAATGACCAACCGGCCGGTCATCGAGTGACAGCCGGTTTGGAAGGGATATCTGGAAAGGACGCATGTCAGGGTCTTCTTCTTTGCCAAGTGACAAAAACTAGAATAAATCAGCCGGTCGCGTGAGCGCCCTACATCTCAATGGAGTCGCGTTCTTACGAGATTTGGCTGGCCCCTTTCATTCGGAATCCTGGCGTCGCGTCTTCTCGTCGCTACGTGCATCCTGTAGGACAATATTTGTTCTCGCGAGGACACGAAGTCTGCTTTAGAGAATTTCTATACCGCGAATTTTTCTGAACAACTTTTCCATTCTCGATTCGATAGAAGAAATTCCCTTTACCGCTTCCGCGCACGTACGTGCATAGGTATATGCATTTTACTTATCGGCGTTCGCGTCTGTCTCGTGAAATTCGTCGAAGTTTGCGAGAATTCTGGGAGTGGTAAGTTCACTCGAAAACTCGACGACGACGGTGAAAGTTTGTCAGGCAAACGAGGAACTTCGGCCGATAGCGTCTTATTTGGGCGTATACTGTATTAGATGAAATGAACCGTGAACAGTAATTGACAAACCGGAAGCCTCGAATTTTCCTCTATACATAATATGTATAAATGGGTGCCTCTGTAGGGAAATCGAAATTGCGATTGCGTCTTATCCAGTCGACGATTTATCCGTTCTGATCGTCGTTAGGTTCTCTCGCATAGAAATTTGCGAAATTGAATCATCGTCCGATTCAGTGTTTCATTATTATTCGGTTCACTTTCTGATTCGACCATTCTAATTCTAAAACGTTTTATATCCGGATATATAAAGGCATGTCAGTTGTTTAAGTTTTTCGCATTAAACGAGATCGATAATAAACGTATTAAATTTAGCATTATATTGTTACGATACATTAATAAATTGTGCGGCAGCTGGTGTACATATGAACGAGAGTATAATAACGTTGTTACCTGCAAACTAGATCACTCGCATGAAGACTTAATAACTAGCTGCTGATGATCGTTCGGCAAAATTGTTGTTGCCGTATATTACTAAGAAAAATGATAACACGAATACAACCAGCAAATTTTACATTCAATTATGGGATGCATTTAAGCGGCTATTGAATTATTTAACGGTCTACCCCTGGCTACCTGAAATTTTATGTTAATGGGCGCTCCGTTCGGGTCAGTAAATATTCATAAATAAATATAAAACATATCGTGAACGGTTGTTTCAAAAAACCCATGGGATTATATGCTAATTAAATAATCGCAAAATGATTTATGATTTCCTTTCGATTCGTATTCCTTTTTTAACACGATTGCCGCGTCACCCACATATTCGGGATACAGCAAAGTTTCTCGTCGGGCCGTGTCACCCGTTTTCGGGTGACGCTTATTTGGCTACTTACAAAGAATCGTCATAGGTATTTGAAAAGATATTCTGCAGGATGTAATAAAACTATTGAATTGTTAAAATGGTCAATTGTAGTTTCTTCGGTATCATCAGCTCTTCTTTCTTCCTCAATGATCAATTGTTGTAAAATTTCGTTAATAGTATCTTCATGACACTCAATATCACTACGACTGCACTTATCAATATCCGAATCAGAATCAGACGATTGCTACTCATCGCTACTCTCCGAATTTGTGTAAGCCTCGTAATACCTTTCTTTTTCACTGCTATTTGTCTTACTAAGAAATAAGTTTTCCATTTTTCTTTTCGACATTGGAATGAATTAGGACAGAGATTTTAAGTTATACCGCTCGTTATTTGACAAAGATTCAAACTGATTGTGTGGAGTGGCGAGGTAATAAGTGAGGACCTCAGGTATTTAATAATGTAAACAAATGACCAAATATGATATCATGCAAAAAAACGAAACGGGAAGTTCTTGCGAATACGCTTGATGCAGCGGCACTCGTGGCCTGAACGAAATTTCATTGGAAACACGCGCGGCAGTCAACGTGTTAAACTCGTTTACAATAGGGAGAAATTTTGTTAATATTCATAATTTAAATTACTGAAAACTGTTATGCAAATTGATTGCTTCGATGACCTACTCACTTTAATTAGTACGAAGTTGCAATTGCTCGATTAATTCATGAGCGACGATACGAAAACGTAAAACGAGAGGCGATACTTTCATCCGTTTTTGTCCGAAACGGTGTCGGCAGGCCCGACGCACCGTCGACGTGCACAAATCATACGCACATGTATACGCGTGGCAGAGTAAACACCGCGAGATTCGTGGACGAATCTCTGGCGAGGTTTCTCGACGGAATCGTTAATACGCCGGCTTTAAATACGACGGCTTTTAATAAGACCCGGTGTCATTAACCTTCGCGATCCACTTAGGCGAACCGAAGCCCGTTCCCGTTTTCCGAGCACCGACATCGAACCTGAACGAATGCCAATTAAAAATCGTTCATCGAATTTCCTGGGTGTCTTGTCTTTGATTTTATTCGTTAAGGGAAATTTGAGGCCTGTGTCGGTTTGGAAACGGGATCGAGGCCAAGATCTGATCAGCCGCAAAAGAGAAAGTAATAAAACGAAGGGAAATGGAAACGGGAAGGGAAAACGCGTCGGTTTCCAGGAAGGTGTAACCGAATAAGAAAAAAAGAAAACTGCAACCGAGAACAGAAATAGCGGCGGTTAATTTTGTTCGGGCCTGTGCTATAAACGCGCATCGCACAGCCTCCGCGTCTGTTCATCGTCTGACGCCCTCCTCCGCTTCTTCTTCTTCTTCTTCTTCTTCTTCTTCTTCTTCTTCTTCTTCTTTCCTCCGCCGATTTTCTTCTCTGTTCGCCCGTTCCAGGCTTTCCTTCTCGACACCGTTTGACTTTCACTTCAGAAGCTTTTAGTTTCTAAGCGTCTTCGTTCGAGAGTTTCGTGTCACACAAAATTGGAACGATTTTAATCCTCGTACTTCGACGATCAATCGAATTTGTCGTTTAGAACTGTTTCCCGCGGTGAAACAATTGTTCCGTTCACTCTTCTTCTATCTTCTATGTGCCAATGTGCGGCCAAAGTTAAGAATGTATTGGCTATACAGTCAATCCCATAAGTTTATGTACATTAGAAAAACGCATTTCCTATAATTAAAAAGAAATCAGACGTCGGAAGAACAATGCTAATAATAAATAGCTACGTGCTAAAAAGTATAGAAGGAAATATCCAATTAAGTATTGACGCTGACGAAATTTTTTTTTTTCAAAATTTCGAAAAATGCTTCAAATAGAAGTTGTTTTTCTTCTAATTTCGATATTTAACGAGTTACGTATGATTATTTGGCATTTTATTGATGTTGACAAAATCCGACCATCCCAGCGTCGAAACGGCAAACTTTTGGCAAAAAATTTCATTTCTCCTTAATTACTCCTAAACCGTTGGATTTACGGAAAAATTTTTATACAGAAATTGTAGATCTCGTCCTCTTCTACAAGAAAGGTCATATGCAATTTTTCCGTATGTCCAACGGTTGGGAGTTATTGGAAAAAAGACGAAAATTTCGCGAAATCTGAAGGGGTACACCCCTTGGAAAAATCTCGGAAAAATCGAAAATTTTTTTTTGTTGTTTATTATGAGCATTGTTCTTCCGACGTCTGATTTCTTTTTAAAAAATGCGTTTCTAAAGTGCATAAACTTTTGGGATTGACAGTATAGCCAATACATCCTTAACGGGCTTCGTGAGAATCGACAGCGGGAGGTAAAAAATTTGGGTCTAAAACACGTTTCGTACGTAGGAACGTGACGAACGATGGCGGTAACGAATTCGTTTATTTTCACCCCCGTCGGAGGGAGGCTCGTCCTTCGCGGTGACGGAGCGAGACGTGATAGTTCCGAGGAAAAATAAATGAGGCAGCAAGTCAAAGGGAAGCCTGCCGCTTCCTCTTCTCAGCTGTTTGAACCAGCTTTGTGGAGCGCTTCGTGCCTCTCGTTTCTCTACCGCACCGTCTTCCTTTTTGTTTCAGACGTGCCCAGCGAGCAATCTGTTTTCGTCATGCTGAACGGCGAGGAGAGCGAGCTCAGATTCTTAAACGTCTCCAACCCGAAGGTGAGCAGCCGCACCTCATACTTTATCGACGTACCATTCTCCTCGAACTCGAATCGTCAATTTTCTGTCCCCTGAACGTCGTTCGGGTCGCCTTTTCCTTCACGATCACTTTTCACCGATTCAACGACTCCCGTTAAAATTGATTCAAGCGTTTGGTTCATACTTTTGTTTGGAAAAGACGGAACTGGAGACGAATCACCCGGACGCTTTCATAATTATGTACTCGGTGATCGACAAGGCTTCCTTTCAAAGGGCAGAGGAGTATTTAGAGCGTCTTCACGACCAGGACCTCCTGCGGCGACGACCGGCTATATTGGTGGGCAACAAAGTCGATCTGGTTCGATCCAGGGTCGTCTCCTCCCAAGGTCAGTACGCGTATTAATAAATCGATCTGCTGTACGATTTTACTGTTCGAATTCTTGATGAAATCGTGAAGAACGCCGAGAGCTCCTAAGTAGTATAAGCCTACGCATGGTCGGACACGCCGATCCTTATTACGTACACGTTCTACTTTCTGAATCGTTAACCCGATAACGACGAGAGCATTAACAATCGGAGATCGTAAACGTACTCGTCGATACGAAATACATTATTCATCGCGGTCCCTTATCCGATCACGCAAACGTCCCTTCGTCCATTTAATAATAAGTGAAATGCTGATGGATGTCCGCTATAAATCATCGCACACTTCTTCTGGCGGAAGGGAAGAACTTTGAGAAACCAATAAACCGATCAATTTTTCTATTCTCTCCTGTACGCGCCCTTGGGTTAAAAATAAATGTCGCCCCTTTTCACCCAGATGGGAAGTGCGTGGCGTGCACGCATCGCGTCAAGTTCATCGAGGTCTCGGTCGGGATCAACCACAACGTGGACGACCTGCTCGTGGGTATACTGAGTCAGATCCGGTTGAAGAACGTGCAATCTAACGCGGAGAACCGGGCGGGTAACGGGACCAGCGAGGGTAGCGGTCATTGGTACAAGTCAAGGGGCGTGGTGCGAGCCAGCATGAAGGCCAGACAGATGCTGACCTGGCTGTTCGGCAAGGAGGACAGCAAGTTCAAGAACTGTGAGAACCTCCACGTGCTCTAAACGCAGTCGAACCTCGGTACCTGACGCTTAAATTCTAATCACACCCTTCACCGAGGTTCGCGGGCTTCCGTGGTCGCGGCGACGGGATCAAAATCGTCGTGAGTATCCGATTAATCGAGCGGAGAGCTTGGTTAAACGCGAACGATCGAACAATTCGATCGATTCAATTTTTCACGCGTGGTTCGACTTCGATCCTTCGACTGAGACGTCGTCAAGAATGCATAACGTTCCAACCGATGATTTTTATATATTTTTAACCGCTGTTGTTCGTGGTGCATCGTTGATTTGCAACCACGGAACGGCCCGAAGGGAAATAATCGGGCTCCGATCAAGGTGCCAATTAAAAGTAAACGGTGACCACTGTTTTTCTTTCTGTACGATTAATTTTAATTAACGTTAGCTCGTTAAGTACTTCCGTCGAGCACATCCTCTCGACATATTTAATATTAACTTAAGGGCAAGTTTCTCGGTGCGTGTCGGTCCACTCTGCGCACGCGAATAATTCAATTAGATGGAACTTCCAAAACGCACTGGGTTCGATTGATCCTTTGACCGAACAGTTCCTCGCTGCCGATCGATAAATCACGAACAATGCGATTAGTAATTAAACCTTTTCGCGAAGATCGTAAGTTGAGAACTGAAGGTAGCGAAGAATATTTGTTCCACCGACGGCGACGAGTCAGCAGTGTGGTCACAGGATCGACTCGAAGCGTTTGATTGCCTGTAGGATTCGAGGGAACACGAAGGAGGAAATATCGGACCATGGCATGAATTAGCGGCCACTAACGTTAACGTCGTTACGCTGTACGATAAGACCAATTTAATCTTTTTAAATTCGAGCTGTACATACCGTATATGAACTTTAACGAATCACGGATTCTGTGTACCTACGCAACAGAAACGGGAAGAACAAGAATAAGGCTGCGAGTCTACGTGTGTCGTACTATTATACATATAAATATACGTACCTACGCGTGTACGTACAGGCTGAACCATTCGACTTGATCACTTCGCTTGTTTAATCTTTTAATTCGAAGCAGAGATCCAACAAACTCTTATTTATTTCGTAGCTCTTCGGGGACAGAGTTAAAGGCAGCTAATGAAAGTCAACCAGAAACTTTTACTGTAGAGAACGTGAAGAAATCGATTTTACTACGTTTTTAATAGCTCGCTCTCTTGTCCGTTTGCTCGGTACAAATGTTTTGCAATTGATTTTAAACTAACTTTCCGATGAGCTAGAGACTTGAAACTTAAAGCATTGCTCAGAACTGAATAACAATGAAATACTAAAAAGCATAAAATAATTGTAAAATACTTGTCAGATTTAAAACAATGCATGAATAGCGCGTTTTACGTTAATTTTCAAATTGAATCACTGATTCTTACCTTCTTCGTTGGGACAATTAATTTTTCTTCGTCGATAGGTAAATAGATGCACGTGTTAAGCGATTTGGTCGAATCGAACGGTTCACCTGGTGCGAGACGTGTACGTAAGTTTACGTTAGTTTCGTGTAGATGTACTGTTAAACGATTGACGTGTTGCTGTATTGTGTGTTTTCCTCAAAACGAACGGGTACTACCTACTATACGAAGAATATTCACATTTTTGGGAGATTTTGAGAACGGATACGAAGAGACAAAGAAATATATTATATATATATATATATATATATATAACATATGTAAGTACACCCACGTATACTGTCCATTGTCTATTTTCTGCGATCTCTACGCCTATATATATATCCGAATTATATATACATATATTATATATTATACATATACGAGCATGTATATAGAGGGTGTTGAAAAAAGGTGGTTTCCCTTAATTGTTTCCCTTTAACAGCGTGTTATAATTTTGTTTACTATTCATTATTTATTATCGCTGTATGCTATTTTCTCTACAAATACGACGTAATAAAGTATATGATAATTTGATTGGACCTTGTCGTTAATTTTCGAGCCACCTTGTTTAAACATTCTGTATATTCTAAATCAAAAGCAGTGTTGTAAAAGGTATAGTTCGCGCGGAGCATTCGTTTCAGGGGCCAAAATGAATGAAAGGGGCAAAACTTTATAAGCTAACAGTAAGTCAAAGTATCGAGTTAATATTAATTGAAAGAAGACTATCTTACGGACGACCAACTTAGTAAACAGAAGGGGACACTCTGTGAAAAGTTTAGCTGAATCTCGAATAAGAATTGTAGCTAGAAAGAAGAGATCGATCAATGAACGCATGTCAGACGTAAAATCGACAGAAGTGACTGAGAGGGGCGTCCGATTTTCTAATTAAAAAGACGTCTCTCTGACTCACGAATCGCAACACTATCTTCTTACAGCACTGTCGACTAAGAAAGAAGCGAACAGAAAATGAAGAGAGCCGACGACAAGACGTGATTGAAAACATAGGGACGCGAGCGTCCGTCGGTGAATTTACAATAAAATCGTTCCTCCGTTCGTCGAGTGACAGAGATAGATTCGGGGCGACGTTTGTCGTCATCCATCGTTTGGTTCAGATTCGTTTGCTGATCGAGACACGTGTTTGCATGATCGTCGTTGTTATTGAACGACTGAGAGGAACGCGAAGAATCCACTGTGCGAACGTTGATTCGAAGGGTAACCGGGTTCACGAAATAAAGAAAGGGATGAGAAAGGAAATGAGAAAATTCTTATCAAGTGCCTTTGTGTATTTTTGTAATTTAAGCTAAACTCGATGTAAGTCTTAAACCCAATACAAGTACATCGCTCTGATCACCGAAACGTTTATCGATACGATTTCATTTTCATCGCTGTCATTAACGATTCAGGTTTGTAGCGCACCACTTTATCTTTATTTCTTCGTAATCTTTCCTTGTTCTTTTTCTAATTTTTTACTCGACGCGACGAGGTGAGAGTGCTACCGTGTGTTTTACCGTTCTTTTGTGAATCTTTTGAGCATAATTATTACGGGCGCAATCGAAGGTTCGTACTTCCGTTTTCGACGATGCACCACCAGATCGATGTCTACCAATTAACTGTTGTCAAGATCAACTTATCAATGTTACTCGAGAAGAAAGACGCTGTCTTTATTGTGTGAGTGATCAAGTACACCGCGAATTTTTATGTACTTGCACAGAATTCAGTACCTTTGTACGAATATCGGACGATGCACTCGATCAATTTGAATCGTGATCCCGACACGAGAGAGATTCTTTGGTACACGGACGAACGACTTTAGAGCAAAAATTAATTTAGATTTCAATTGAATTTGCATAATAATTCGCGGTCCAACGAGTGACGTGACAATACTGCCATCATTTCGGCTGATAGGGATACGATTCGTCTTAGCCGCCGCAAAATGCTTGCGGGGAACGAAAGGAGATAAGAGAGATCGAGCGACTTTCAGTTTCGCTTGGTACACAATATTCTAATGCGAGGTGATCCGTCATCCGGAGGGAAACGAATGGCTCTAATCCCGATGGGATTATTGTACTTCGGTAATAATAAAGAAGTGACGTTAAAAATCCACCCCCCTGTCTCTCGCTCGTTACTACCTCGCTCATCGTTCTTATTTCTTGCACTTGTCTGTCTACCGTCAGAGATTCACTTATATTCGTGTTTACTAATTGGTACAACTTCGAATGAAATTAAAATTGTACGACCCAGTTCCTGCCGTTCCTTTTCAGAGATTTTCCGTATTTTTTTCGTTTCGCTTCAAAGGAAGGTCTGTACTTTTTCAAACCGTTGAACGCCACCCCGTAAATCTGAAATCGCGACGTTTAGTTGATAAATAAGTATCGTCGAAACGCATGCGCTTTGCCCATCGATTATTTTGATTGGTGCCAGATATTGCCAGGCTCCAGGCTTTCGTGGCAGTTTGCCACGAAACGAAAACGAGCCTCGAATCTTTTCCGAGCCAGCTAAACCGATATGCGAAAAGAAAAATTCGTTCTGAGTAAATCGTAGCGTAAAATGTAGTCGTGCGAGTAGCGGCCACGTCGCGTTGGACATGAAAATTTCATGGTCGAAGAGAAATTCCCGGTTAGTCCGACGTTTCAACAGATTTAAAGCGTGTAATTAATTGATCATTTTTTTTATTAGAACGTAAGGTGCGAAATGTTGACCGTGTAACGTAGGAAGGGTAACAGACTCTCACAAAGAAGTCGAAATTATTTGATCAATGCTTTGTACTTAAAATCGAACTCGTTTCGCCGAACAATCTTCCATTCACATTTCCGTTTACTCCTGCTATAATTTTCTTCAACGAAATCGAAGGAGAACCTGCAGTGCAGTTTCCTTGTCTCAAGAGGAAAGCAAGGATGCGATTGAGAAAGAAACATGAGCAACGTGAAGCCGACCACGTGCAAAGAAGCGATTCGACTGTGGGAGGAACAACACCAGGAGGACGCTTCGACCGCCAAAGAAATGATTCTCAGCTTCCAGTGGCCGCCCATAGAGAAGATGGACAACTCTTTGGCAGTTTTGGTCAACTGCGAGAAGCTCTCTCTTTCCACCAACATGATCGAAAAAATTGCCGGTATACGCGTGTGCTTTTAAATTCGATTTTCTATCACCGACATCCGATTACCTATTTACTCTTCGTCGAATAGAAATTGTTTATTAATAGTGGCCGTCAGCTCGTAAATCGAGTCCTGGCCCCGATCGCATTAATTGCTAGGCGATTACGCGTCAATTAAGGAGGACGGTCGGCAGCTTCGATCAATTTCTAGCGTCGACCGTAACGCGGGTCTACCTATAATTCCATTTACACTAATTATTCAACCGTTTCGTCCACTGTTCCTGTTTATACGTACCCACGTTCGGTTTCAACGATACGTAAATTGGGTCGCCACTCGATAGACGAGAGATCGCTCATTATTATACGTCTGTAATCATATTCAGTCCTGATATCGGAGTTTCGCTATTACGGATTTCCGACAGGTCGCATTTCCGACTTCGTTCCGCGGAGAAAAATAATGGGCGGTCAAATTACGTGACGAGGAAACGAGAGATCAATTTTTATGATCGAGCGAGCACGATGCTCGATTTCGTTCATTAAAAATAAATAAAGCGTTGAAACAGGGATCTCGACGTTGAAGAACTTGAAGATCCTCGCGTTGGGTCGTAACTTGATCAAAGGGTTCGCCGGAATGGAATCGTTGGGCGATACTCTGGAGGAACTTTGGATCTCGTATAATTTAATCGAGAAAATGAAGGGGATAAACGCGATGCGGAACCTCCGCGTACTCTACATGTCGAATAATTTAGTCAGGGAGTGGCAGGAATTCAACAAGCTGCAGGAGCTCGGCAACCTCAGGGATTTGGTCTTCGTTGGAAATCCGCTGTACGAGAACTCGGAGGTAATCTACTCGATTCTCTGTATTTTTGATCACTTGTTCGGTCAGTGGTAAATATCTCGTTTTCAATCTGATGCCTCGTAATGTCGTAGTTCGCTGATTTCGATCTCGACGAAACGGCGCAGGGTCACTGGATAATTATAAATCTGATGAGCCGTGTAATTGTAGGTGGAAACGTGGAGGGCAGAAGTGGCTAGACGTTTACCTGCTTTAGAGAAATTGGACGGCGATCCCATTATACGAACCGAAGAATGCATAAATTCAACGAATAAAGTCGACAGTCCCGTGCAGTCTCAAAGATCACTGGATCAGTAGATCTCCGCTACTTTTTAATTACGTACAGCTTCGTATACGTCGTTTAATTTTATGTACAATTTTCGTACACATGTAATTCCTATGTTTTATACTTTTACGATCGTTTCTTTTGTACTTGATTGTAAAACTTCTTGAAATATATATATTTTTTTAATCTACATTTACATTCCACGATTCCTGCGGAAATAATTTCATTCGAACACGATCGTTACGTGTTCAATGTACCGAAGATTTGGTCGTATAAAGTGTAGATGAGAAGGGAAATACGAACAGGTTGCAATCATCGGGCAGCGACGATGTCGTACATTTATGTTAATTTATTCGTCTTACGATACAAGACAAATTGTACATACGTTCTTCTTTTTTTTCGTTTTCTCTTTACGGTGATTGTAAAAGGTTGAAAAAGCAAATAGAGTTCGATTGGATTCGATGCACGAGATCAATACCGAGGATCGGACAGACGACATTTTCGAGAGATATCATCGTTTCTTCTTCGTTTTAAATAATTCGTTCCTTCTTTAAATTCCACACGCTCTCACCGAAGTTTCTATCTCGAGACACGCGTTGTCTCCTCCAGTTTCTCAAGTATTCATTTCTCCTCACGTGTTTAATCAAGACACGAACCGAATGAATTTAACGTGCAGATAGAAAAATTGACGAATGTGCGCTTTCCGCCGTTTCTTTTATCTCTATTTTGTTTTTTATTTATTTTTTTTAAAGATTCTTCTCGTTTTAACGGTTCTAGCTAAGTTTGGTCGTCGATGTCCATCGATTACTTTCGTCGACGCACTGTGCCGTATTAATCGCGATGAACGTTCGAACAGAATCACGTCTCAACTCTTTCAATGAACGTCCGAAACATATTGTGAAACCATCGTCTGATACTCGTCCAATTTCGTCGAATCGACTTTTAGTGACGCGTGTTGCGTCGAGGAAATCGTGAAAATAGCTTGTAGAAAGATTAGTCAGATTGTACGAGCAAAGTCAAACACCGAATCCTCTTGGGACACAACGATTAGACACTTTCGTTTCTCAATTACCGGACTGCGAACGTTCATTCATTTTGAATACGCAGACATGTGCGCAGAAACTTTACCCGTGAATTTACAGAGGATGCACGAGAAACATCTGCACCGTACAATGAGTGCAGTGAGACTGAGCATAAAATTGGGACAATTCATTAATCGAGTCTTCGTCATGAACGTTCGCGGTCCGTCAATTATACGTTTTTATAACGAACGTGTAATTCTTCACTCTCACGTACACATGTAACACAGTCACGAGATTCATCGTCCATCTAAGAATTTTCATACTTTCGTTTCTATTTCTTTAACAATTTCTTTTTGAACGTCGATCGAAATCCGTCGTGCAGACTTTTACGAGAAAGGATCGATTGTTTCGCGTGATCTGGAAGAAAACATTGCTGAAAGTATCATTGGAAATATCGAACTCGAGAGGTGAGAAACGACGCGCGGTGGAAAGATAGAAAGAGACGAGTTAGCCAATGATGAGTGTAAGAAAAATATCTCGTTATCATTATCGTTATTACTATTATTATTATATCGACTCTCTGGAATTGATTCGCAGGTTCGTCGAAGCGACGCGAACTGCCGATGGACGAATCAACCGTTTGATTAATTATCTTCCTCATATCTTTATTGAGTTTTGCACAAAAGTAAAAGATGCGACTTTCCTCGAACCGATGGACGTAAGGAGATCTTGAAAAACGAATCATTGACAATTTGTTCATCGTTCCCGGCCGTTCAGCATCGCTTCGAGTCTCGACGGTCTCGACGATTCTTTTTTTTTTTAAACATTTATCCTTAGATACGTCACGCCGACAGATTGAAACTTGTTTTTTAATCACTATTCTCCCATCCTTCTTTTTAATACATTCGCTTCGCGACTCGTTTCCTCTCCACACAAAAATAGTTCTGACATCAGATCATCATTCTCATACAGATACAATATATTCTCTTTTTGATGCTCGATGCTCCTCTTTAACAATATTTCCTCTTCGCTTAATCTTTTTGTTTTCTTAGTTTCATTAGTTACCAACACCGATTATAATTGCAACATTTGATTTACACCGAGAAAAGGTCTGACGAATTTTTTCACGACGAGTTCAGCGTTCCTCTCTTTTTACGATCTTTTCGATAGAATCCCTCGTAATCATCTCTCTTTACTCGTTTGCCCGCGGGCCCGCTTTACGTCGAGGCGAACCGTTGCTTCTGTTTCTTCACGAAATCGAGCGCCAACTTGTCGCCCACTCTCGACTCCAGGATCTGCAGAATCGGATGATCTGCAAGCAACAAACGTCGTCAAAGTGCGATCAACGTTCACGAATCGAATCGTCTGATCAACGACCAGATGCGAGGACTCGAAATGACGTACAAGAGGCGTCTCGAAGATTTAACAGGCCACGAAACGATTCGATTAGGAGAAATCGAGACTGTAACGTGTTTCGTATCAATGAGATGCTTACTTCGATTCTTCTGATGCATCAGGGGTAGCTCCGTGTACTTGAGGCCGTGAAAATTGTCTATGCTGGCGTTGGTATCCGTGACGCCGGGTATCGTGCTCAATCCCAAGAACGCTTCGCCGGCGAAATCATTGGCCGTTAGCACGTCGTGATCCATCACCGTGAACAACACCATGGCATCCGGGCTCTGACACTGCTCCACGTTCACGGAGCTGTTGACGATACGCGCGAATCGATAAATTAGAAAATGATTTCGATCCCGAGCCGAAACTAATTCCTGCCGGGTCACTGTCCGACGAAACTTACAATTCGAAGCATTCGTCGAAGATGGGATTCAACGTCTTCTTCTTGACGTTGGTGTGCTGTTCGGCGCAGGGCTCGAAGATCCGTCGCGGCAGCAGTTCGATTATTACGAACGGATCGCTGTAACCGTTCGGATCTAACGGTATCACGTCCCTGGCGCTTATCACTTCCACGCAGAGGGAGTCGTGGTTCAGGTACGCTCTTACCGTCAAGACGCCGTATTCCGTGGAGACGGTGTTCTGTTGATCCTGGAAAATGAATTCGTTCGACGCATTCATTAAAAAATGGTAACGAGAACATATGAAACTGTCCGGAACGTGAGAAACCGAATATTCACCATGAGTCGCTGTCGATGGAATCGATCGATCAGGAAATTCGTGTCCATCTTGTGATACTGAAGCCGCTCCTCGACGTTCAAAAAGCTCTGACAATGCAACGTCTCGTACGGCAGACCCTTTTCATCTTCATGGAAGAACTTCATCAACAGGTCCAACGCCTCGTGAAGCCTTTCGTAGAACATAGCTGGCTTGTCCTAAGAAGAAATTTCACATGAAATGGTTGGTTCGAACGAGGTCGCTGGTATTCGACGAATCTGCACTCACGCCAGCGTTCCCGTCCATCTGGTTGCTGAGCTCGGCGAGGACCACCTCCCAGATGTCTTGAAGCATCCGGTTGAAGTTCACCGCGAGCAGAGACGTGTTCAGCACCACCAGGTGCATGTCTAAGTACTCGAGGAGCGGTGCGATCGCTTCTGAAGTGGGCAAGCTGTCCGGCGACCACGCGAGATGGAACATCGCCTTCTTCAACGGCGGTCGCATCTATAAATTCAATCGTGTTTGATTTACGACTCGAGAGAAAAGAGAATACGGTCGGACGAAATCGATGTTCAAATTATCCTTTCTGTGTCGATCGTCGTACGAATCGTTCCATCGAGCATCTCGTGAAACGTTGCATCAGATTTTTACGTTTTAATCACTGACCTTCATGCCGATTCTGGAGGTAATTTGATTGATGAACAACAGCATTTGTCCTGGTGTTTGTTCCAACGGCGAGGCCAGAGCAGTTCTCCACTGCGCCCGTGCGGAATCGCCGGCCTGACACTCCAAGGCGTTCAGTATCTTCTCGACCATGAGCTCCTCGCTCAGAGTCAGCAGCCAGCGTCGAACGTACTCCAGACCGTTGACAGCCACGCACATCTGTTCAACCATCATCAAACCGTACGATAATAGAAATTCGCCGATACGCGACATCCAGTGTAAAATGTTCCTTCGGTGCAATTTTAATTTATCGATCATTAGTGAGTCAGTACAATATCGAATAGACTACTGGCAGATGCATTTCTGTTTGCTCATGCAGTTTTCAATTCTGACTACGACGTGCAACGCAAGACCAGCGATATTTTTATGCATTTTCGTGTCAGAGCGTTGCCGATACTAGAACTAATTATGCGAAGCAGTGTCAGTGTGATACCAATGCGAAGCGGTCTCTACCTCAGCGATTACCTCGTCAGTTGTCTTATAAGGCGTCTGGTCTTCGTAGTAACCGCTATCCGCTAATTTCTGATGAGTGAGCTCGGTGTAGTAAGCAGCCGAACTGCATATCGCCTGTACATTCGCGATACGTTTTACATATTGTTATTCATTCGAAGAATTTAAATATTTGCTGAATTTCTAACGTCTATCACTTACGTCGACGACTTTCAGGACTAGATTGTACGACCCGACGAGATCCGGCCACGCCAATTTCTTCCAGAATTCTTTGATCTGCGAACGAGTCGAACATCTAATCGTTACGATCTCGCCATAGCGACAAATCAATCGTTTCATTTATGGTATCAAAAAATACACTTTAGATCGTCTCGTGCGTCTTAAATATTGCAATGTAGAATTTGCTCTTCTTCTGTGTATTTTCGTGAACCATGCGAACTTCATATTTTCCTGTTTCACACAGTATCGTTTTACCTGATAGAAGCACGCTGTGACGTCGATGGCAGAGGTTCCATGTTTAACGATGTACTCGCTGGTGCAGATTCGATCGAGTTCAGCAGATTTCCTCACGCGCTGGATCGCCTTCAATTTAGCCAGGTCCAACCATTTGTCGACAGCTGGTCGGAACCACTCGTAATACTTGCAAATCGCCAAAGTTTTATGATCCGACTGCGGCAGGTTCTCCTTCATTCTAAAAATATACCTCTTATACCGTTCTTACATCGAGATGAACGTATGTAAAATTTCGACTTTTCGATTTTCTAAGTTTCGTTTCTCTTCCGATTCGAGTCGAAAAATTAAATGCTTCGAATCGAAGGGCTTGTCTAAAAAGACGTCAGGTTCCCCGGTGAACCCACGATATTCGTAATAAAAATATATAATTTTTAAATCAACAGACTGTAGTTCTGAATCGTCTAGAATTTTTTTTAAACTTTATTGGAATCAATTACAACGCGGAACGAATTCTGTGAACCGATTGATATTTACGTGACGAAATCCTGGAGAGCCAAATACAGTTCGAACATGGGTGTTCCAATTTCTGCACCGGGCGGTAGCACATATTCCTCGTCCGCGTTTTGACCGTGAAGCTGGAGACAAGCCGTGGTGACCTTTGCCCCGAGCTCGTTTTGCATCTATGGAGTTCAGATTTTTCCAATTGAAACCAATGCCAGAGATCTACCCTCCGGGTTCTACTGATGCTTTACTGGGTGAAATTTATTTCTACCTAGTCAATCTTTCCTGCAAGTTTCCTTACGAACAGATGCCAGAGTCCTCGAGACGTAGAATAATTTCGAGCTGTTCGAAATTATCATTAATGAACGAGCAATGCAATTTTGCACTCGAATTTTTCGATGTCAAGGTCTCTAATTTTATTATTACGAATCGGAGTTAGAACGAGAAGTCGGATTCGTACGGGAAGCTTGCGTAAAAGCACCCTACGGAGACAGAAGGTCGTGGGTTTGATCATGTTAAAAGGGCGATAACGGAAGGTGACAGGGTCTCGAGGAGAACGTTTGAGTGTCTGTGCGCAGGAAGCACATCGCTGAAAGTGCAAGATAAAAATATCGATCCGGGAGCTTTTGTACATGTCGACTGATCACGATTAAATCCAATCCTTTCTTTCGGATCGATTCGTCTAATCTTCAATGGTGCAACGATAACGATGTTCAATACGACAACGAAATCATGCACCGTTGTTAAAATACCTTTCGTTCAACCAAACTTCTATGTGGTTTCACAATGCATTTAATTAATTTTCTACGTCTGATGCAACATTCTAGCAGGCGATCTACAGATAACAGAAGAGCATGCAGTTGGAAGTAGATCAGCCGTCCACGAAAATCGACGTCATTCTCCGTGAAAGATAAGCTGAAGAACTATATGCATTCCACTTGGACGTTCAATGAAAATGGGATCGAATCTGGCGAAGTTTCTTAAATCGAATTCGATCCGAATTTGCTCGAGTCTATTTCGGATGAAATCCCTGATTTCTATGGAACACTGGACGGGGAATGTACGCAGTAATGAAACATCGGTGCGTGTCAGAGAAATGAACACCGCGCGGAACATGCAAGTGTTCCACAGAGATCGGTGAAAACACGTGAAACGAACGAAAGTACGGAGGTGTAGGAGTAAACGAGTGTTCGACCATGAAGCGTAAGATTGTTCGATCGTCGATCTTTATATTCACGATCGTTCATCGATCTTTTCGCGTCACATCGTCGATTCGAGCGTTGTTAAGAAAACTGTGGCAAACAATTTCCTACGTACGCGACGAGGCTTCATTCACTCGCTCACGAATAATTTAAATCGTTACTCGTTTAATCATCTACTGAATCGTCGGTGTGAATTTCAATAAACTGTTGGCTACTGGACTCGATGTCGTGAAACATGTAATACGAGGATATCGTAGAAGAAGTAGAAGAGACGTAAGAATAGAAGAGAGAAGAGAGGAAGGGTCGTTTTATTTATTCTCTTTAATAGTTGGTGGTGGCGATGAAATTAGTACCTCGGATGTGTTCTCCATGTGTTTCGGCACGTGTTCCGCCAGCTATGGACAAACATCTCGTGTACAGTAAGATCGCGATGACCTGAACGGTAACAAACATATTCTTTTCCCCGTCGTCCGCTCCTCGCCTCGACTTCAGATCACTGCGATTCCTTTATCTACAGGGTGTCTTTTCACTCGACTCTCGTTCATCGTGGGACGCTGTTCCTTTCCGCATCGGATTTCCACCGTGTCACGTAAAATTTTTAAAATTCATTTTTACGAAGAAGAGACACCTCATAGATAAAGGGTAATATGTTCTGTAGTCATTTCAATGCAAGGACGTCGACCGAATTAGCATTTAATCGCGATATCGCGTCCAACAGTTAGCTTCATTTATCTCCGTTTACTCAGATATTTAATTGTTTCCGTTCGGGACTGCTGAATCGAACTGACACGACGAATCAAACACGATCGACGTCTTAAGAAAGCATAAAGCCAAACATAGCACATCCAGCTTCAGGAAACAGTGAAATAAAATATAATCATGTGTATTGTGTGCTCTGATATCTTCCATCGAGATTCTTTCGATAACGATGTATTTTATTCTGACACGTCTTATCGACCGGAACCACTCGTCTTCTTAAACGATTTCGATCACTTACCAGTTTGTCCAATTGCTTGTACACCGCCGAGAAGTATGGCACGCCGTTTGTGCTGCAACACGACAATTATCGTTTTCCACGTTCAATAAATGAAAAGTGTGAACCGCGATTGAACTCTGTGTCCCATGCCAATGAACGTGATCGATGAGAATTCTCATCACTGGAGGACGATCAATTTCGAGTCGCTCACCTTTCGAAGAGACTGTTGTAATAAGTGAGTCCTTGCTCCAGATCCACCAGTAACGCGGTCACCAAGTTCGTGAAGTCCTGCAGGACTTTGTCCGCGTCCTGATCTGGCTCTTTGTCGTAGCACATCGTCAGCTGCGTCGTGTCCTCGTACCTTCGTCGATCAGGAGTTCGATTATTCGAGGCTACGTCGTAGACATTTTTTATTTCATTTACGAGCGAGACAAACCATTCGAGGGTTCCTCTTCTAAGAGCGGTGATTATCTCCCCACGGATTTCTTTGTTGAACGGACAACAGGCTCGGAAGGCTTTCATATTCGACAACAGACCTAAACATCTGTAGAAGAAACCGAACAGTATTTCGAATCGGGCCGACGATTTTTAGAGACGCACCTGAGAAGGTAATCGAGTTTGGCGATTGACGGCCGATGCAACGGTGGGTAGAGCACTCGGTGTTGACGAACTCTCCTCAGAGCGATGTCGAGGAACTCGTTGAACGAGTCGGCCAAACATTGTCCCTCGTCACGAGAAAGCGTGTCCGTGTGCCACACGTTGTCCAACTCCTAAACGCGAGTCAAACGAGTTTTCTTGTGTACGGGGGCCAACGTTTAATCTGTGGCTCGTAGCACGACGTGAAACAATATTACGACAACGGGAATCGGGACGAACCTGAAGAAGGCGATGGAGGATCTTCGGATCGCAGGCTGGCTGTCTGGACGTCGTCACCCATCTGACCAACGTCTGTTGGAGCTCGGTGACGTCGCCCTGGACGGCGTGCTGATGAAGAATCGTTAGTGCCGTTTGTGGCAATTCACCAGTGAAGTCTTCCTGAATCGCACAAGATGAAACGACGTCGTTACGCGAGTGGAAATGGAATTAAGACGAAAGAGAAGGGTGGTCGCACAGGGAACGTATTACTTTAGCAGAGAGCTACGAAATGAATTGCATTTTTCAAGTAAAAGTAACGTCTGTGGCCCGACGATTCTACGCGTTTATCAAAGAGTTCTATATCCAGGAAAGGTTGAATGGGACACATAGAAATGTAAAAAGCTAGTGCACGGAACGTTCTACTTTGCACGAAGATCAGTCTAGTGGTCTGAATAGAACGTACGAAGGATTATAAAGGACATGCGAGAAAGAACGTATGAAATATTTTTTAATTCGCCTACCCCTTGTTTGTTCATCTCGTGGTGAAGGAAGACCGTGTACAGTCTCTCCTGCTGCCGCAGTTCGCCCCAGTTGTCCTCTTCGGAGGTTCCCCTGTCCTCTCTCGTCGATAGCCACAGCCTTAATCTAATTCTACCCTGGATAGTACTTCGTTGCGTTCTTGCCTCTAATTTGTACCATCGATCCAACCCCGTGCTCGGAATATCCTATCGACACACCACGTCGCGACACGAAGGAAAATAAAGAAGGAACGGAAAATTATGGTTTAGCTTTCTAAAATAATTTTCACGTGCTCTAATAATAGAGCGATGCTTCGTACTCTTTAACTTGGAACGTGACGAAGGTACGTGGGATCAGAAAGGAGTCGATCGTGGTACCTGAAGGGGTATGTTCACGCAGCCGAGGAAGTCGTCTTGGCCCCCGGATCTCGCGCTCTGTGCGATCTGTTTGAAGAATCTACCGAGACCCTTGACGCCTCGCACCTCGTTCAGCTTGCTCACCGCGTCGAATACCGAGGACTCGTCGTCGTGGTCCCTGAAACTATGTCTGTCAGGACAACACAAACACTTCCGACGAGAAAACACGCCGATCTCGATTCGCTATATGCATCGTCACGATTCTTTCGAATATTGTACGATCCATTTCGAACTGCGATCCTTCCAAAAATCGTGTAATTTATTTTAAAAGAAATGAATGAACCCGTTCCGTTCAATCAGGTCAGGTTCATTCGACAAGACTCGTACTGTAAACGATAAGCGTCGCCTGTCCGTCTTCGAACAGATCTTAATCACATCGAACGACCACAATGATTATTCGTGAAACTCACCATATGTCTAGATGCAGGATATCCGTGTGGATATCGTCGATATCGCTGGAACGAAACGGGCAGAAGTTAAAATTGCGACTCGGTTCCGGTGGACTTTCTCTTGTAAAAAGACCAGCGGTCTTTTGGGAACGTAGTTTCCACTTACAAACGAAACTTCTCGTTCCATCGCGGGCTCAGAGTGTGCGGTTTCACCGTGGTCGCGCGTATGTATTTCGCTGGCACAGCTCCGCTCAACGATTCTCGGTGCTCCCGCCTGCTCGAATGTTCCTTCCGCTTGAATGACAATCTGAAACTAATTTCCAAACGCGACCCTTATTCATTCTGAAACGGTCACAACGGTTCTTGACACAAATAATTTTCCAGTCAAGGTGTCACTAATAAGACGATCTTCGTCTCTCTGTACACAAGTTCAAAAAATGTTCTAGCGATTCATTTGAATTAATTCTTCGATAATTTCGATTATGATCATCAATCTCTATGACGCTGTATCAATTTCCTTTACGAATTCTATGAATGGGTGCAATTTTCAAATCTGTGATATTCGATTTCCACAGGAATGCTCACAATTTCTGGATTCGCTTCTTGGCTAGCTTCTCCACGTTCGGCATCGCACACAAACTGTTTTTAACAGGTGGTCGAAACGATTTAAGCGTTCACGTAGCCAACCGCGTTTCCTCGAACGCGACGGAGGAGACAATGGGGAAACACAGAGCCCAGGAACGCGCGACGCGGTCTTATTCTGTCTGGTCTCGCGTCCCCGGGACGCGAGTCGTCGCATCCGGCGACCGGTCATTGTTATCGCGTTCGCATTGTGCGAGCGTCAACTCGATACGCCTTACGGAGTCTCCTTCGATCGTCTTTAAAAGGGATTAATCGATACCCGATCCGGTTTTCGTACCAACAAGAGTTTCGCGTTTAAAAAAATATAACAGTCGTTCTTCGATTTTTATGTAATATCAGTATTTTCTGTACGACGGTACGTCGAAGAACGTTCAAATGGGTTTTATACAGTGTTCTTGACACGATGTTTATACGATGATCGATACGGCGACCAGACGTCGCATTCCATTGACCGATCGATCAACGAGGAGTCGATCGGACGTGTGATCGATTTTTTAACTTACCTATGATGCTTGCGCAATTTCTCGTGATGCGAATTCTCGGTTTCACCGCCGTCGGAGAGGGCGCGAGTCGCTTGTCTAGGGGATGCCGGTGGTGTGTGCGGTGAATGCGCCGTTAAATTCGTCTGAGGGCTCAACGGCGCGCCCATATTTCCCGGTTGGATGCCCAGCATGCAGTAAGGGTCGCTGAATCCTGAAGCACACACGGAATCTGATGAACGCTCGAAACTAATTTCCCCCGCCTCTTAAAAATGCAAAATCATCTCAATTTATTTATTACGATGTTTCCCGTTAAACACGCAAGATTTATTTCGTTCCTCGACGAGCTTCGAAGTTATTTCATTAGTTTAATATTGAAATTTCATAGAGGAATTCAGAAACGTGTTCCTTATTACAGTATACCGAGACGCCCCGTTGTACACAGGGCAATCTTTATTTTGATGAAAATGTATATTCATGTATTCAAGATGTGGGACGCTCAGCTATTTTAGTTTTAACAGAATCAAGCAGAACGGAGGATTCTTCGCTGGAAAATTAGACGATAATCAAATTCTGGACGAACACGATTCGGCAAACTAGTATCGATCGGTCGAACGACCGCGACGTACCGTGGCCGTAATCACTTAATTTGCGGCAGGTTCTAAAATTATTGAAAACAACGCTCTCGCGTCAAAATTAACGACGCAGACTGGCTTACGCGGGGTTTAACGGAAAATTCATTTTGGACCAAAGCTGTGTAATTGAATAAACAAAGTGCTCACCGTTGGCGTCTTTCGCTTCGAGCCCTTCCGCCTCCACTACCACCACGCTTAGAACGACAATGGGCGGCTGGAAGGAAAAATTCACGAAAACGAGTAAACAGTGAGCCGCAGACTCGATGCATTCGTAAGAAATTTAAACGTAAAATGTAGATTTTTATATTCCTGCTATGAACGTCCGAATTCGCATGAAAATCTGCAACGACGATGAAATTCATCTGAGTAATTCTGACGGACCCGGGGAAATATCGAACACGGTCATAATGAACGGCATTGCCGTTTCAAGTTTCAATTCACTGTTATTAGAGTATAACTGCGTTTCAATTCGAACGCAGGATGGATTATTCGTAAAATGCAAGAATTTAATAATCTCCTCTCTGTTCGTCGATAAACGTAATTTTTCCATGGAACACCGAATGGGTCGCTGGTTATACGTACATAAAAAATACAGAGAACGGGTAATAATTGTTTCGATACAGTTTCTAATTAAAGTCCTTGTCGTGATCGAGAATTAAATCATTTCACAAGCGAGGTGAACGACGGTATCTTTTACCTTCTCCTCGGATGCAATGCTGAGGCATCGCCGGTGCTGATCCTGTGGCACACCGAAAGCCTCCTGCGCGTACCTATAAAGGTCCTCTTTGTAATGGGCGTACTGTCCGGTGCTGGCGCCCACGGTGTTTGCGATAGTGTAAAGAACCTCCGTGTACAGCTGCTGGAACAACGCGTTTTAAACGCCGACTGTAATTCTCGGCCAGGTCGACGGCAAATCCCTCGGTCTCTCGTCATCAAGTCGACGCACCGTCGTTTTCAATGCGCGATGCGTCCCGAGAGAAACGTAATTCCGCTTTGTCCTCGCGTTACTCATGAAAAATATCCCCGGGCATTAACGCGCGCCCGAGCACCTCCTCCACGCATTTTTCATCACCACGGTCTTTGATGTTGTACGCCGTGTTCTGTTTTTTTTTTTTTTTTTTTTTAGAATTGGACATTGTGATTCATTATTTAACAGAGGAAGCTACGTTTCCACGTACGCGGTCATTATGTTGTAAACGCTCTGATCGTGCTGAAACACGTGCAATTTGTTCTACGAATACTGATTTGTATACGGATAAAAATATTTAAACGTTCCCGTTCTCTAATGATTATGTTTCCAGCGTTAAAACGCAAGCATATTAAATGACAAATGGTTTCGAAGTTGAAAACGTGAAGAGTAATGTATCATCGAGCGAGCAGGAAAGAGTTTACTCTATTATATGAACCATTTTTCACCTAATTTTCCACCACCTTTCACCATTTTATTTTTCTACTAACAGCGTAATAAAAGAGGAACGACGGAACGGCGTGTAAAAATGAGAGCGGAGCTCAACAGACAAAGCTGTAAAAATGCGAGGAATTTACGGGGAACGAGTTCCGCGGGATCGTCTGACCATTAACGGGGCTGTACCACTGCGGGCCGACGTCCGTAAGGTTTCGGGCTTTACGCGGACCATTTTTCCTTCCGCAAGAACCGCCGGAGTTTCCATTTACGATACTAATTACACCTGATTTCGCTGATAAACTTTCCGGCTCTAAGAACATTTCCAAAGTTAAAGTCAGAATTTGTAGAGCAGTGAACGTTCCCGACGGATCGTGTCCCGTTGAAAAGAATTCTGCGAGTGCAATGAAATTTTTTTTATCATTATTACATTGAGTTCTTGAACGAGGCTGACAGCCTCTTTATACGTTTCATTACTGGAGTCGATTCATTTATATTTGAAATTGCATCTCGACGAGGAACACCGTTTTTCACAATTTCTATCGCGTATCGTTTCATTGGGAGCCGGGGAAATAATACCGGGAACACGACCGCGTCTCCGGTTTCCTAACGAGGCGGAAGGCGGAGAAATCCCGCGTCTGGGCCGATTCGATGAATCTCTTTCCAACAGCGGAGCCGTTCGAAATGCGAAACAGGAACAGCTATTATTCTTTCGGTGCAGCTAGTTCATCGTTACTCTCGCTTTCATCGTATAAATGACCGCGGCCCGGCGCTCTCGGTTTACGAGCACAGGAATCTTTCCAACAACGTACCGTTCCATCGAATCGTTCAGCTTCTTTACAGTACTTTGTATTCAATGTCAGACAGAATACTTTTAATAACTGTGCAATCTACTAGATATTTCAACATTGAAATATGCATTAAGAATTATACAAATTTTCTCATTGTTACATTCATATTTTTTAATAAATGAAATACAAATTCTGTCGTTCGACATTTCTAAAATCCTGTACGATGTTTTATTGATGCAATTTGAATTTATAATTTGATGATTTAGTATCTGTTAAAATTTCAATGCTCCGTCATTGTTTTTATGTGAGGATTCATACAACTTTAACCAAGCGATTGTAAATCGTCTGAAACGACGTCGTGAAAGTTTAACGTCGTTCGGAGTATCACTTCATTCCGTCGCGGAATCGTATTTGACTTTGAATTCGGCAGACAGAACGATTTAGAGTAGCGTCCAGCAAGTATCCTCATAATCCCTCTATACACAGTGGGCATTGTCCACTTTGTGAAAGGGTAGGATCAACTCAAATGCGACGCATCTAACCAGAAACGAGTACCGGGGGAATTGTTGCAGTACAGGGAATTACTGTGCGAGGTAGCGGACAACTTTACTCATATCATATCATAGACGAGACGCATTAACATAAGCGAACAGCATGGAACGAGAATCTAATTGGAAATTCACGTTCTCGATGCAGTTCAAACATACAATCCCTGAAGCGAATCGAGGTTCGTGTTGACTTTAACGATGAACGTCAATGTTTTTCTTGGAATCACAAATGTCCAAATTCTTTCATATTTCGTACAATAAAATGTGAACTAAAATTCGTATTTAATCCTTTCGGTACGGGTGCCGGATATATCCGGCGTCCATCTGATGTGTGACCTGTGTGGACGAGCGCCGGATATATCCGGCATGTGCGCGTTTTCGGCGGGACATCTCGTACAGCGGGAGTGTCGCGGCGGAAAGAGCGCTCGTACCGAAAGGGTTAAAGAAGAAGTTAACTGAACAAGCGGTCCTTGGACAATTTCGTTCGGCATAAAGCTCTTAGGATTAAAGTCATTTACCTCGTCCTTGGTGAAACGATAGGATTGCGAGGACGTCAAGCTGTCCCTGGACGGCGGCGGTGGTTCTTTGGCCCTGGCCTCCACTTCCTGCATCACCACTAGTCTTCGATTCTGCTGCTTCCAGGACAGCGCTGTGAAACTCTCGAAGAACGACCCATCCGTCTCTTGAACCCTGGAAACGATCAATCCGTCTTTCGTCACGCACTTGTTGCTCCCACTCTACAGGCTCGTTTGTTGAAAACGGACAAGAAACAATTTCTAAACTATACTAACGACTGCAAGCGATTCTATGTTTCGTTGAATTTTTATGTGTCCCTCAGGAACAATTAAAATTAAAATTAAAAAGTTGCAATACGCAATTCTATATCTGTCATCACGCCCCCGTTCCTCGTCTCTGAAATGAAAAATTGTTTGTCGCATTACGGTTAAAAACTCCGAGCGTGTTCCGCGGCGATTCGACGATAAGGAATAAGAAAATCGTAACGGAAGAACGACAATGATCGGTGGGCAAACACGGCTCCGTCTAATTATCGCGTATTCCCGTTTCGTTCTTTCAACCTCGCACTTGCGTGTACGCCTGGGTTTTTTTACGTCGTTGCAGTAATATTGATCAGCCGACGTATTTCCGTGCTCTTTTTTTCCCGTGCTCGCCTCTTTTTGCCCCTCGCGCGTTTCCTTTTCTTAATTAATGCACCGTGCTGGCTGCCGCGAACGATACGAGGTAACACGTTCCGTTGCAATTTGGAAATTGCTCCCTTTGAAAAGGGTAAAACCAAACGAGCCATTCGATTTCGCGCCTTTTAACGGAGGCCCACTCGTCGAAATCGCGAGTGCTTCCGGTTCACGTGATCGTCGACGCGTTTTCATCAGTTCCGATTTTTAATTAACGTTCGACGAAGCGTCTAACTTCGACTGTTGCCAATACCGTTCTCGCTTCTGTCAGTTTGACGATGCATAATTTTATTCACGGAGTAGTCATTATTAAACGATCGTATTCATTGTTTTTGGGAGAAAGGGGGAATCCATTGTCACGAAACTGTAAAATCGGTACAAAAGGTGAAAAGTTTCGACCACCCGAGTCCTCAGCATGTCCTTATCGGCAGAAGCGAAGGGGTGAGTCAAATGGGAGGAATATTTCCGACAAGGTCGAAGGGGTGCGTTTCGATTAATCGGACACGAGAGCAAACTCCTCTTCCCGTTTCCTGTATCGTCCCTGAGGGAAGACGTCGTATCTTCAGGATTTAAATTAGACCCGAGGACGACGTTTTCTTTCCTTTCTCCTTTATTCCGTTCAAACGTAACGAGTGTCCCATCGTTTCTACGATTTCGAGCTTCGTACGAACAATGTCATTTGAGAATTTTGCTTATTTACGAATTCTACTGAAGACGGGATGGAGTCGAGTGACCGAGAAGGAAGCGAGTCAATGATTCAAGAATCAAGAGAAATGTCAACGGGATTAAAACGGGAGAAAAATAAAATTGGAAGACGGAAGAATCGAGGCTTGGAGCGACTAGACGCGAATGGAAAAGAAAGGGGAAAAAAGAACGGCCTCGTTAACTTCAGGAATAAGCCGCGTTCACCTTGTTGACCACGGCCTGCTGCGCTAATTTATACAAAGCGGCTAAGGTCCGCCGGGATATTGTTATTAATAAACGACCGTGGATCTCGAATCCGACCCTCCCCTTCAAACTTTTCGATTCCCACGCGCGTTCTCCCAACGGTCATGTCTAGTTGGAAGTTCACAGTGAGAACCGGGAACGTGGATCCCGCTAACTCGAGAACGTGCAACTTGCCCAATAAATTACACGAATCAACAATTGGTACGAAGACATTCGCAGCTGAATCTGCAGCGTTCAACCGTCGATGCGTCTGAGTCGATAGGAACAAGCTAATCGTGTTTTTTTTTTTCACGATCTCGTAATTTTAAAAAGTTTTCAAGTCTTCCTCTCCATTAAGAGTTTCGAAGAGGTAGAAGCTGCGATTCTATTCGATAGTCGTTCGTCGTTACAGTTTCAAAAGATTTCTCTAAACCCAGGGGCGTGGTTCATTTAATTTATTTGAGAACCGTGGTACAAAGAGTATCTCTGACTGGGAAATGGAATTTCGATGCGGGGAACGGTTAGAACGCGATATTTCTCGTCGTATAACAAGAACTTCTCGTTCACTGCCTAGTTTCTCGCTCTCCTCTTTGACGTACGTGGCATCTGTTGCCGCGGATCGAAACGGGGACGACGCGACGTCGCTGCATCGAGAGATCGGGTAAGACTCGATAAGTTCAAAGGGGAGCGCCGAGGCGTCGAGATACAAATGATAAGTGACTCGGACTCGAGCAACGCTTCCATACATTTTTTCCTCTGCACATTCTGATTCTCGTCTGTATTCGAATTCCTTCGTCGCTCCGTCCAAACGTCGTATCGGGTTTCGCGACACCGTTCCCTGTCTCCGTTGCTCATTCCAATTGATACGATTTTTCTGTCTCTCTCGTCGAATATCGTGAACGACGCGATATCTTTTGACGACGATCGATGTCCATTTAACAATTGCTACTGCGAATACGATTTTTTCACAGACCGTCTAAGAACCGAATAGAATATTTAATTTGATCTTGTGCGTCGTCGAGTTAAACGCGTCGAAATCGAAGGTGGCAGGACTCGGTTCTTCCCGGTCGTGTTCCTTCGAGCGCATAATTTATCGAGCGGATAAACCCGCGGAGGAATAACTTCGTGGAACGTGTCAATTTGCCCAGAGAACCGCCCCTCGAGAACGTCTTCATTAATCCGATTGTTCGAAACGGAATCGATTAACGGGTAATTAGATCACTCCCGTGGCTTTTCCATTACTTTCAGGAAGCACGCTTGACACAGACACGTTTCAGGAAAAATACATTTGCCGCATCTCGGCCTCGTCCTTGTTCGATTTTTATCGTAAACTCGAAACGAAACGTTGATACGTGAAAGGGGACGTAAGTAAACTAAGATATCACACTCTTAAAAACGATTCGAACGAAGAAATTCGGAATTGCGGAACATGATCGATTCGCGTATGAAACGAAATGATTGATAAAAATAAAATATGATTCCTGCTTCGATCGGGAAATCAAGAAATTTCAGATTTAAATCATGCAAAATGTTGCGAGTAAAACGATATTAAGGATGTATTGGCTATACAGTCAATCCCAAAAGTTTATGCACTTTAGGAACGCATTTTTTAAAAAGAAATCAGACGTCGGAAGAACATTGCTAATAATAAACAACAACAAAAAATTTTCGATTTTTCCGAGATTTTTCGAAGGGGTACCCCTTCAATTTCTTCCAAATTTTCGTTTTTCGCCAATAACTTCGAAACCGTTGGACTTACGGAAAAATTGCATATGACCTTTCTTGTAGAGGGCGACGAGATCTACAATTTCCATGTAAAACTTTTTCGCTAGCGTCAATAATTAACGAGTAATTTGCAAAAAACTGTTTTTTCGTTTTTCGTCAATAACTCGTTAAATATTAATGCTAGCGAAAAACTTTTATACAGAAATTGTAGATCTCGTCGTCCTCTACAAGAAAGGTCATATACAATTTTCCCGTACGACGAACAATTTAGGAGTTATTGAAGAAAAACGAAATTTTTTGTCAAAAGTTCGCAGATTCGACGGTGGATGGTCGGATTTTGTCAACATCAATAAAATGCCAAATAATCATACGTAACTCGTTAAATATCGAAATTACAAGGAAAACAACTTTTATTTGAAGCATTTTTCGAAATTTTGGAGAAAATAATTTTTCGTCAGCGTCAATACTTAATTAGATATTTCCTTCTATACTTTTTAGCACGTAGCTATTTATTATTAGCATTGTTCTTCCGACGTCTGATTTCTTTTTAATTATAGGAAATGCGTTTTTCTTTTGGGATTGACTGTATAGCCAATACATCCTTAAATTCGCGATTCGTCGGCCTGATGCGAAATAAACGAAGTTTCCAATTATAATACAATTATATCAAGCAAGCTATTAATCCCATTTTAATGAAATCCTTTCGTGATTCTCTTTTAAACAATAGTCGGCGTGTACGTACGAAACGAAGCCTTACTCAGAATGATCTAAACGACTCAACGATCGAAATTGAACTCGGCACGAGTAATGAGAACTTCGTTGAAACGATCTATCAATTATGTATCGCGTATCGGAATTAATTAACGTGCATTTTAAAAACGTCGCACAGTCTACTAGACGTGAAACGATGCCACTCTCATAAATTAGCAATCGACGACGTCGGGACGAGTATCAAGGAATCTAACGGATCAATTATAATTCGGATGTCGCCGAAGAATGAATCGGATGCTTAAGAAGCTAATGGAAAATTCGATTACGTTTCACCGACGAGGAGGTGATTAAAAAATAAAGGCGCAAGCGTTCGGCGAATCGGAGCCGTCTGTCGTTATACGATGAGCAAACTTTCTTCGAAACACGAGCAAATTCGTTTTCAACTTCGAGACCACCTCTCGGGTTGAAATTGCGCGAACTTTTCTACATAGATAGGGTCAGGTCCGTCGCGATTAAAATCTCTCGAGCTAGACTTCTTTCATCAAATATTATTTATCATCGTACCATACGAGTGCAGTTTTAATTCGTCATAGTTCCTCTCAGAAATTTTCGAATACGAACCACCGTGATCTACTGGGAGGGAACAGGAGTCGGTTGAATCAATTCCTCTGTCAAAGACGAGAGGGATCAGGCGATGACTCGACGCGTCGGGTGTTGACGACGGAGAATACGAGGAACACGATGCGGAGTACCACGCACCGAGGTTGATCGATGCCTGCCACTTTCCTGAGAATGGAAACAAGACTGTGGTCGACCTGATGGAGGTGTGATCGTGCGAGGGTAAGGGCTCCCGAAAGAGATATGGCCGCTGCCTAGATAAAACGGTCTCCATGTGCGTGCAACCTTTCGACCCCTCGACCTTCTGTATACACCCTCGGACAACCCTTTCCATTTTTAGAGAACCTAGGCCTCACCTCCGGGAATCGCACCGTGAAAACACTTGCAGGCTCGAACGAAATTGTAGCGACGTAATTAAGAAATAAAAATTAGAAGGCGGCGGCCTGCCGGTTCACGAACGAAATTAAAGGCGCGTCAAAGATTCGTTGAAGTTTTTAATTTCCTTCCGTTTAGCAAACT